TGTATAGTCCGTAGAGTTGACACCAGCAGGAGTTGTCAGTAAATGTTCAATGAATTGAGGTGATGTCACCCCATTAGGTGGGATCCGTTGAGAGGTGAGGAGAGAAGCAGTCTCGTCAACGACAAAAAGGATATCGTCTATAAAACATAACTGAGCTCGCGTTTTGCACAAATCATGAAACAATCTTACTCTTTAAGGCCATATGCCTTGGTCCCGTGCCATTGACCTGTTGAATAAAAGAACTGATCTCCCAGGTCTGGGAAGGGGTTTTGTTGAGCCTCCAGATCTTATCCGCACCCTTGAAGACAACTGATGTATTGGTAAGAGGTCTTTTCTTCCCCACTTTGCTTCACTTACAAGGTCTGTTACGAAGAGCTGATCGCCGACTTCCAAAGCTTCATGTGGATGAGAGATGAGATTAGGGGCAGGATTGAATGTTATAAGCGGAGGTGGAGGATTCGTGACGACATGGACTAAATCAGGTTCCAGAGAATATACCATCCCATTGCCCGAACCATACTGTTAGTATAAATAAGCCAAAGTGAAGTAAAACGTTTTGAAGAAGGCACAAAATCACGTTTAGAATAGCCACCTCATCAGAGCGAGATAATGCCAACAGGTTTGCAGGCCCGTTTCCTCCAGACGTTACTTCTTGTATCAAATCAAGTTCTCCTTCTGATCCTACCGTAAATGTTAACAACAGTCCATCCGTAAGTTCATTTGTAGCACTTTGTTCAAAACCAATATCAGACAATCTTGTCATGGACAGGTGACCATGACGACATACTATAAGACAGATTGATTATGAGGACTCAGTTGGATCCAGCTGGGGGAATTTCCTGCATTGGATTGATTGATTACAGAAAGTGAACCCTGACTACCTGGTGTTGGTCCTGGTATGAACCGAAGGGCAGAAATAACAGATGAATAGGCACCAGCGAGGATAGTAAAGCCAACCATTGCGCCTTCAAAAAACGGACCATGGGCCAGCCTTTATGAGGGCCAGGATTCCCGCACCTGACGCCATCCAGAAATTACACCATAAGAAGTGAATAAAACCATGTGGTAGAACCTTCCTATGCTGGTATTTTTTCCGAGAAGACCAATGTCACTGAGACCATCATGGGGTTGGCTAATAAAGAGCATCTAGAGATAGCCATAGACTGGACTTACGTAGTGGCCAAATCACGATCTCCCGGCCTATGATACTCCGCCATGTACATACCTTTCTATATGCTTATACTATGATGTGGAGTTGGTGCTGGCTCTAACCGAGGTTAACACGGGTTCATAAATAATAATAGATCAGAGTCACGAGAGAGTGCTGACGAACAGAAAATAAATACGAAGTCTCATGTTATTGCCGATGAATTTGAGCGAAGAAGTGTGGCCCACCACATGAACAAGATACATAAGTATGGCTTAGTTTTAAGTTTGCGGGCTGTGGGGGTTCGATGTCGTACCCGATGTTTTATTACAAACACCGGTAAATAACATTATTATATTACAAGCTTGTAAAATTAGACCTATTGCCACACCACCCTAGCGAGTGTCAACAACAATTCAATTGCTCAGAAAGAAGGCATAAAACGAACAGATGTTTAATCCAATCCCCCAAGTTCGGGATCGTCAAACGACGACAACATCCCTAATCTTTCCTTAAGAGAACTTCCAGAATCTGCACCGTCCGCTCCCTTCCCTACTATAATATTTACTGGGTCGCCACTTTGCGTTGCTTCAGCAGCAGAAACCGAGCTTAAACTAGCAGGTGGGATATGTTCTCGGATAGCCTCAGCTATTGCGGAGGCCAAATCTCGCGACGGCAGCCCAAGAGCCTTTGCCAAAGCTTCAATGTGATAATCGACACTTTCTCGCGGGTGATCTGTGGCACTCGACGGCTGCGCCGACTGGTCGTTGTTGCTTGTTGAAGGGTTCTCACCCAACTTTCCAAGCATTAAACTTGTCCATCCACCTGCTAGGGTCTTCCATTGTAGAATGCGGTAGACATTAAATAATGTGAATGCGACGACAAGAGCGGAGAAAATATAGATGAATCTGTTGAAAGGAACTTTGGAGCCTGGTAGATGAGTTTTATGTTTCGCTGTTGCGGTTCCTTTCCTGGATGGTGGAAAGTCGTTCGAATTAGTATCAGCTTTTACGGGCATCGTTTTCCAAGTTTTTTTTCGTGAAGACATGGCTACATCTGCCTATTTAACAGGATGTGGAACCTTATGGCTATGAGCAAGTGGCGCATAAGTGACGTCACGAATTATGTTCAACAAGCTGTGAAACAGGCGGCTCCAAATACTGATATATTTACATACATAAACAGAAAAAAATACAAAGGATATATTTAAAAAACAACCTGGAATAATAATGCTTGGATATCCGTGGTAGTGAAGAAAAGGAGCTAGGTTACATACAAAAGGATGATAAAATACAAGGTCGACCCATAACTACTTCGAATAAGGACAAACGCCAATCGACAGTTAAAAATGGACAGAGACGACCATCCTAGTGATAAAAAGCAAGGGAGAGCGAATTAACAAATCCAAGAAAGCAGAAGCAGAACAGACAGACAGCATCGTTGAGAGCGATGACCCGCAGCGAGTCAAGTGCAGAAAAGAGATAATATTCGATTGGGGTATGGGGGCGGGGAATGTAAAAAAGCAGTTTCGTTTCATTCTTAATCAGCAGCCTCAGTTGACTTCTGAGAATCCTCCGCTTTATCAGTCGTAGTACCGATGGGATGACGCCAAGTTCCGGCAGCCGGATAGTGATGCACCATCCCAATGGCTGTACCAGGGAGGTTTACGGCGGGTGTTCCGTTTGGTGCATAGATGTGATGTGCTAATGGAGGCGCATATAGAGCTGGCGCCGAAGGGTACGTGGAAGTAGGATGTGCGTTATCGGCATTGTTATTGCTACCGCCGTTTATGGCGAGCGAAAATGGTCCATGAAAAGCTATGGCCGAAGAAGCATGTCCACCGGGATAAAAACTTGCTATGGGGTAGTAATTGCCTGCTGAACCAGGAAACCCTTGAATACCGTTGTATCCAACGTACGATCCCGAATCAAACCCTCCAGTAGAGGAAGGAGGTGTAGTGGGGCTAGACAAGGGGGAGTCGGCTTCGCCAGACTGACCACCCTGGTCCCCACGTCCGCTGGTAGAGTTGTCCCCACGATACGAGCGAGCGCGGTGAGGTTTAGATGAATTGTCGCCGTAAGGTTCAAATCGCTTCTGAGAACGTTTCTTGTTGTTGGTACCTTCTGATAATCCACTTTCTCCTAAGCTAGGAGAGTCAGGATCATCCGCTTCGCCCCTGTTTATACCAGTGAAATGTGAGTATACGAACCATGGCCCAGTGTACAACAGAACTAGTTTTGTTACCTGTATCGTGGGATGCCATCTGCGTCATACTCTACACGTGGCGGAACACGGAAGTGAGTCTTGTTCAGATATTCCGCACTGATCTCCAGAGAAGCCAATTCAGGAAGGGAAGATGGAGTTCTTAAACGACCCTGTTTAATGTCTTCTACTTTATAGTAAGATATAAGATGCTGGGAAACACCTCCAATGGAAAGAGAAAACGTCTGGATGATTGATATTAATTAATTTAATAGCGGCAAACTAGATGAACTAATAGGTTCCCAACCTTCTTCATCATTCCTTCTGATTTAAATTTCTTACTGTTAGTCAGGCTGCCAAACAAAGAACGTTCACGGGCTCGATCAGCATCATCGAGATCTGCGTTCTTAGGACGAGACAACGTAGAAGATTCATTCCTGTTGGATGAACTACCTTCGTTCACGAGTATGGAAGGAGAGGTACTCGTTGGGGCCTGGGAACGTTGAGGTCCACGTAAATTACTCTTTTTGTCGGTTTCTCGATAAAGCTAATGAAGACATGTTTATATCAAAGTGTGTTCCGATTGTGGAGAGAAAGCGTCTACGAACCAAAAAATTCCCTAAAATTCGACTGGGGCTCCAATAAAAACCATCAGTCCAACGCTTAATACCGCTTTCGTCTTCATCGAAAACGAAAACCGATCCGGACGTGATCATTTTGCGCTCCGAATCTACAAGTCGGCGAGTGACCCGGGGTATCATGCCACGGCGGGCGGCTTCCAAGATGAGCAGTGCGTCACCCGTGGTTTCAATCCATCCCGTCCATGGCGGCTCAGTAGATGGAATAGGGTTCTCTTCCTGAACAGCCGGGGGCGAAGATGCTACCTCTTGTTCCATTTAAAAAATGGGGCTGTCATAGCACCCACGTTAAGATAACGACAATTACAAAAATTTTAAAAATGTACCGGAATATAATAATAGAGCTGGTATCCAGGATCAAACAAGAAGGTTACTACATGACGGCGTGGTTCGCAGGAAAATTAGGTTCAGTAAGAAAACAACAAGGTTAAGCTTCACCACTCACCAAAGAGGAGGTTGAAACGGGGTTAGTTATCAGAGAACTCTGTTGTGGCGGACTTGGAAATTCAATCTCAGAATATCCGACTTACTCGCGTTTAATCGACAAACAACAATGCAATTCAGTCAAACCTTTTTATTCTTTGAAAGCTGTATATGCTAACACGTTGATCCTCACCGTCAAAAGATACTTTTTTTTTCAAAAACAATCTTTCACTCTCAACCTGCTCGATTCAACAAGCGCCTTCATTTATTTTTGTAACATGACCTATAAAGTAATTCATCCTTTACATAGTTGCAGCCAATCCAAAATGACTGCGGTACTTCGGCCTCCCCGCTATCATCAAATAATTATTTCGATGAATCGCTTATTGCGAATATCGACATTCTTGGGACCCTGGAAAAGAACCAGAACCTTGAGCTTGTTTCAAAATATCCTTGATATGGCAGCGCTTCCCGAGTACTATGGTCCTTCGCCTCTCTTCTATAAACAAAGACCTTCGGCGACAGGTAACTCCTTAATTGAATAACTTACACAGCATGCTTTCTACAAGGTAATAATGGTATTCAAAAACTTCCGGTGCGGGGAATCTAACCCCGAGCTATCGCGTGAGAGGCGATAATGTTAGTCATTACACCACACCGGATGTACCAAGCCAGTCTTCAAATGACATCTGTACACTATCTCTTCTCCTAAAATCTATCTCGTCGTCTCAAAAAAAAAGGGTGCCAGTGGACAGTCTTGATTAGAGTTTGTTGATCCTGCTTTTGCTGCTAGGATTGGTCGCGGATCCTCAAAATCAAACCTAAATCCCTGTCATACCAATATCAACATTACCTAGGTCAAACTTTACAACACGGCATCATGACCCTGATTTACAAACATGAGCATTTCCATTTCCCTACTGGGAGGACATCTCTCCACGTCACCACCAACCACGCTGATTACATCGCACCATGACTTATAATTCGGTCAATGTACTACCCGAAATCTAGTGTATTATTTCACCCAGGATGAATACATAATGGCAAGGCTTTAAAAGAACTATGTCAGAGCTCGTCGTTGTTGTTCTAAGTAGTAAGTAATGCCCTCAACTTCCAACTCTATACGCCCTCCCTTTGTCTTACCGAAGGAGACATGTTCATCGTCGTTGAATACAGGCGTTGCTGATTGTTTCGAGGTATTCTTCTTTGGACTGGCATGTGGTATATTCATCAGCTCAAAGTAAAAATCCTGGTCCACAAACGATTCTACGAGATGAATTACGTTGAGAGAAAGGAAATTTTCTTTAACATTCACGTCCGTGTCCTTCCCGAAATATAGGCCTTCGAGTTTCAAGTATCGAACATGGTTTATCCCCGGTAAATCCCTCAACGCCGACAAAGTATTGTCTTCTCCGTCGGTACCCCTGTAGGTCACTGATATCAGGTTCTCCGATTTCATATGTTTCAAAATCATGGATGTGAGTCCCGTTGGGTCGTATGCGATGGATATATGTTTCAAAGTGGGGAGTGCGATCTCGAGGGAAGTTTGGGAATCGTGCCAGTGTAACCAGTCAGCCAGGTTCCAAAGCAGGAATGGATGACCTGGCTGTATTTCTAGATACTCCAGACATGAAAAGGACGATAGACTTTGAAAAGATGCAGGTCGCAGACCCTCTGCCGAAATGCTAAGCGAACGAAGGGAAGGACACCACCCTGAGGCGAGCGACCAAAGGCTGGGAATCATACACAATGTATGCAGATTTGGCGCGTGGACATTATCGAATATCGGGGTATCGCTTTTGTTCCTGATTTGAGTATAACGTAAAATAGCAAGGACTTCTAGTTGAGAAGCGATGCTGTTCGCGGGGAATATCAATGAGAGGGGCGTTTGAATCTCGTCCCAATTGGTTACCACCAGCCTTCGAATTCTAAAACAGTTGATACGAAAAAGGTCTACTAATTCGCGAAATCCATGGTGATAACGCGGAGTTGGCATATCCCACAATTCCTGCAATTCGTCTGTTGAAGGCCTCGGAGCCAACGGGTCGGCATATATGTCGAGTGGACAAGATCCTGAAAGAAGACACCACCTTTTGACGATTTCCACACTGGGGGGGATATGGGCGTATATTATTATGGTCGACCAGAGAGTGGGCGTCCCGTATATCCATTCTCTCCATTTTTTGGATACGAGACACAATACGGTTCGAGAATGAAAAACGACGGGTACAAACTTTCTGGGTGTTGTGGATTCGCCTTCGCAGATTGGAGGATTACATTCACCATTTTTTAGTACGGAACTGAGATGTGGATAAGATAGCGAGTACTCGAAAATAATCTGGCAAACCTCCAAAGGAAGTTTGTCCATGAAAGAGGGGATACTAGTGGAAGTAGTAGTAATCACATCCGAATCTGACGATTGGATTTGGGGTAAAGACATGGTTCAATAAATCGAGCTCGAGTTGAAGGATCATATTTATGTGCGGCTTAGGGAATCAAGTCGAACAAGGGATTACTTTTAGAGAGGTTTGAGTTACCATAAATAACGTCATCTAACATCATTTTGAAGAAGTATGAGAGATACTATTAGACGGCCTCTTTTTGATTGGCCAAAGGCCTAAAACTACCGTACAAACTTGAATAGCACTGTTTACATAAATACATGCACCAATCAGAGGTAAGGTGGTTGAATTACGGGTGGTTTCTAATATTATTCAAATCGTGCTTTTAATCTACGAACACCGGTTCTATGTGATATTTCGCCTTTGGTTTGTAATTTTTCTTTCCTTTTATTTGCGATAGTGATTCCATTCTGGTTTTAACGGTCCGATGAAAGTAAAGAGGTTGGCCTTGAACAATAGGTATTTCCCTTCCTTTTCCAAAATTAATTCTGAATATGAAGATGTAAGTATGAACTAGTACAACGTAATAGTGAACGACTTAACATTAACTCCTTTTTCCATGTATTATCTCCTTGTTGAATCCTTTCTTTGATTGGGAAAGCTTCCAAAATCCACCACGCTCGTCGATCGCGTAACTGATCGTATATAGGACATAATGCGTCGGCGAGGTCCTCCCCTTCTTCGGTCATAAGTTCTGTTCGGGCTATATTGGCATACCCGACTTTGTTATCATTGCTTTCTGGAGTTGCGGAGCGACACAAACTGGATGGAGAAACTAATGCTGGAGGTCGTGGTTTGACTTCCGGATACAGAGAAGTTGGGTCTAAGCCAATTGTCTTCAAAAGTTCCGAATGGAAGCGAACACCAGAGTTCGTCAAAAAGCATTGTCTAATCATCCAACGAAGAGGGATGCGAGCGAGATTATGACGACTATCATTTGCTACGGAACCCCCACCGACATCTGTTCAGAAAAACAAATTCAGAAATTTTGGCCCGTCTAGAAAAACCATTGTATTCACCGGTATGACAACCCGCAAACCACACTTCCAAGACATCGGTCTGTTGTCGCGTCCTTTCCTGAAGGGTGAATTCTTTTTCTCTAACGCCCATCTTGTCATGATGTTGCTTGCTCGGATGTCGCTTTTGTGAACTGGTTTTCATCCCAACACCAGCTTTGGGCATTTCACCAGGTTGAGTTCCTAGTAAGGACTCATCGTGATCAGGCCGATTGAATAGATTAGCTTTAAATTTAGCACGACGCTCGTCCAAGGCGATGGCATGTCTAAATGTCTTGATAACCGAATTGGAGGTAGTAAAGGGAAGTCGACGAGGGATAAGCCCAGCAGAGCTAACGGTGTCCCTTGAACGAGGTAAAAGAGTGTTTTAGAGTTAGATGCTTACGAGGAAGAGAGAGAAAGGAAGGCTACCAAACTCCAATGAATTCGATGTCAACGTCCCGACAAAAAGCTTTTTTGAAGGCAGTGCTCTGTTTCCAGCCTACCTCATCAGCCCGCGTGTACATTTTGTACGCGAAAGGTAATTGTTGATGATTATCAGCCGGAAGTAGTCCAACCTTACTAAAAGTGGAGTAATCCTAAATCACCCTCGGACGAATTTTTGAGCTTACTTTATGTAACATTCCAGCTAAAGCTCGAGCGGTGTAGGCGCCTCTTGAGAATCCGAATAGACAGATTTTGTCGCCATATGTATCTAGCAATAATGATAAAGTGACATCGAAAAGCCGAGAAAGTTCCGCGTACAGTTCTGCATGAGAAATGTATATCCATCTGAAAATTTGATTAACAGGCAAATATTCGAGGGGAAAAAACCCTACAGACCCATAACGTGGGCGTCCAGATTCCAGGCAATCATCATATCCAGGGTTTTTGAAAGTTTAGCCATACCTGGCGTGGCGATTTCTGGAACCGTATAGGTTCCTATTCCGGCCTATTTGAAGGATGGGAGAGGATGTTGGTGACTCTGAGTAGGTTATGATACGAAGAGGGTCATCCGTCATACCTGGTAATAGACCATTTGCTCACGGAAGTCATCCTTCTTCAACATCGAAAAGAAATGTACTACGTTTGAATTCTGATAAAAATTGAGTTAAAAGGATGATAAACGATGTTTCGGAATTTGTGCTACGTACGTCAGCATCAAATGAATCTCCTGTTCCGTCGAAGCAAAGGACCAATGTGCGGTTAGAATGCATTGAAGGAATATGGTCCATGTCGTGATATTCGTCGGGGGTCTTGCTAGCTGATGGAGGAGGTGACTCTCCAAACTTGAACGCAGAACAACGAGGAAAAGATGCGGTCGTAGGGGTTGAGCTTGGTGTAGACATACCAGTGATTAAAGAGAAGAAAAACAAGAAACAAATAAGGAATGACACCAAGTATATATGAAGGAATACTACCCAATCATAAGCGGATACTCAACAGTTGGGCGTTTTTCGCTTAATGGAAAAATTGAGTTCAGCCATGGTTGCGTTTAGTGCGCCCAAAAAAAATAAAGAATGAGCGGACAATTGTAGTCTTTCAATAATAATGAACTTTCCGAGAGAGAGTTCATGTGATGTTCCATTGAAACTTTTTCACCGCGCTTTAGAGTTGGAATCCTTATGTAAGACATCCTCCCAATGCAGTTCCCGACCTCAACTACTTAAAATCACAGACCCAACAGAACAGGCCCCCATGGAACTCTCTTTGATTGAACTTATTTATTTGTTTTATATTTCCTCTTTCCCTTCAGTTGTATGGTGTCACACACAACTTCACTCACCAATCACTTACCCGGCGGGTCCATCACCACTCTACCTCTAAATCATTCAGAATTCTTCCTAAATACCTTCTTATCATTATTTCTTTTTCTTCTTTTTCTTTAGAGCATTTTAGCTCCCAAATATGTACAAATAAAGAGTTCCCCATATGTAATTAATCATCTTTGTTTAATACATGAGCCTTGCATCTTTTTTTTTATGTTCTCGGGTTCCAACCTTCACACAATTAATCTATTAATAATTAAAGTCCATTTAACAAGTGAAAATCTAGGAAACATCACATAAGACTTGATATGGAAATGAAATTGTTGGTGGATATATAAACCTGTAGACACCTAGCGGATTTCCAAGTGTAGGAAAACCTCTCGAGCTCATTACTAGTTACTATTACAGTGTGCAGTTGCCTTAACACCCTCTCTATCTTCATCCTTTTTGAGGGGGTCCACACTTAAATACATGGACCATCCCAAAGTAATGTAGG